GGAATGCAGCGCTGCCGAGGACTCCCGTGCTGAAGTCCTGGGGTGATGGATGCTGATGGATGGGCTTGATGGTCAAGCAGCATTTTGGGGAAGCATCCTTTCAGGTCTAGCATCTTAGCGAAAACGTCTTGAGTCTCGAATGCATAATGACAGTTTATGGTTACAGCCACTTTTATTGGTCCCTGAGTTCAAAAAATGTACTGTTACAGGTTCGGAAGCAGTGCATGTTGTAGCAGGGATGGCTGTGACTACTAGTAGATCTGACTTTAAAGAGACTATGTCTTGCTTTCTTCTGCTCTCTTACTGGAATTGTTCCAGACCCTCCTCTCCGAGATCCGAGTTAGACTTGTTGAATTTCATCAAAAATAATTTCATTTAAAAATGTGCAGGTGCTTATGGAACCGGTGACTGAAACACAAAATGTTCATCGCAGGATTGTTAGTTCCATTTACCCTTTTCTGTAAATAAAAATTGCAGATTCTCTGATGTGGGTTGCAAGGCAATTCTTAAAACATTTGCATTAAAAAAGGCATTTTTCAGGCAGTTCCCCTTGCAACTTTTACCTATTGTTGCAATTATGACAGCAGTTAGACACATTGCAGTTTCTTAAAATAAGCAGAAATCCTCTGTATCGCGTAGATGCTCTCACTTGTGTGCATTAAGTCTCTTCTGAACATTAACTCTTAGGTATAGCGTTCACGAATGCAGTAAGTGCTGACAGTTTTTGATTCCAGTTACCAAGCCAGTACTAGTTTGGGGTATATTTTGTGCACTAGAGAAGTGGGTGCTGGTCTGCTAATTCAGCTTGTCCCCAGAGAAGTAAGTAAAACTTGTAAGATGCTGCTCAGTTCTGTTATCAGCTGTACAAATTTTGAGGTAAAGCGAAACATGGGATTTAAACTGGGATGGTGTTCCAGTTCAAGTTTGTCTATATTCTCAGAATAAGAACGTGCAATGGCTTTTTCATCCGTACTTAAAAATAATAATTGGGATAAATTATATAGATAAGGCAGGAAGCATTAAAATCCATATGCTGTAATATAGGTAAGTCTATAGAAACATCTTGGCAAACAGCCACTGTGATTATTGAAGCCATCTCCGTTCCCAGGGAGCATTACCAAGAACTCAGAAGTATTTGAAGCATGATGGGCTCCCCTTCTTTCCCCAAAAGACTAAAAAAAGCATTGGTGGAAAAAAAATATATATATATATTTCTTTTGAAATTTCATGGGTTTTTTTTCTTACTTTTCTGTAGGAAGACATAGATAAGTAGATCTACGTTTATGCCCTGCCCCTGGAGCTGTTGAGCACATCCGTCCCAGGCCAGGCATTCATGTATTTCATGCCTAACCATCGTTGGTTGATTCCGTTGTCTCGGGCATGGCAGTCTGCAGCAGCAGGTTGCACGGCTGTAGGAATTGCACAGTGGCTCTGTGTTGTGTTGGCCTTGCATCAGTCCTGTGCAAGGGTTGCTTGGATGTGGCGCCCTGTGAGAGCAAAGAGCTTGCTGCATTAATGTTATCCAGTGCCAGAGCCCTGTGGGATGTAACCTAATGGCTGGTCTTGCTGAAAGGTGGCCGTCCCGCCCCTAGGAAGCAGAAGCTCTCGGCCCTCGGGTGGCACCATCCCCCTGCGCACGCAGGCCTCGCTGCGGCACCGCTGCGCGCAGGCCCGAGGGCCTCCTCCTGCCCGGAGCTGCCTGCTCCCTATGTGCAGGTGCTGGGCCCGTCACACCGAAGCGCTAGCGGGAAGGGGGCAGCCCCTCTGCCAGGGTGAGGGCAGAGCTCCTCGCGCACGCGGCCTCCTCCTCCTCCTCCTCCGCCGGTGGTCCCGGGGCCGCTGCGGCCCGGGAGGAACCGGGGATCTCTGACACATCTCTGGCGCAGGCGGCCGGCCTCTCCTCCCCTCTGCTTTGTTCCTCCCAAACATAAACACACTTAACTGGCCTCTTCGCTTCCCTCTCCACCCCCAAATCTTCAAAGCGAGCAGGCAAAGCAATATCCCTCCCGCAGCATGTGCCAACACGCTCCCCAGCTTTTTCGCAGGGAAAATTTCAATTAAGTGATGGGCCCTGCCTCTTGCTGGCATTCGCTTTGCGCTCTTGCGCTCCATGGTTTTGCGTGTGAGTGCCCTAAGTTCCTCCCCAAAGCACTGGGAGTGGGAGGCTTATGGTGGAAAAGGAATAGGAGCTTCCCAGCTCCGCAGGCAGCATCTGCTGCAGGTGCTCTGTCCCTCCCGCCCCAGGAATTAGGCTCCTTAGACACCTCCAAGCTAATGCCCGGCCTGCACTGCTCCCTGCAGTAACGTGGAGTGCATCCCCCTGTCGCTGTATGCTCCTTCCCAAAGACTCTGCTTCGGTTTGTGGTGCATATAAAACTCAGAAACCAAAACAATCGCCCGACTTAATTGCAGAGATTAAGGCAAGGAAAGGGAAATGGAGTCTTTTGCCAGCATCTAATCTAACATTTACTAGTTTTGCAAAAGCAGGAGCGAGGGGAACTGCCCTTGCTGAGCTGGTGTGGTGCTTGGGTCAGCCTCATCCTGGAGCCTTCTCCTAAACAGAGGTGCTTGGTGAAGCCTGGGTTACTTCTCTGCTCCCCTGCCCCTAAGTGAGCCGTAGCCAGCACTGTGCTTTCCATCTGGGCTTGGATGCGCCCAGCACCTGGGAATGCAACACAAACATTCACTGTGTTGACCTTACACTGCAGTTGGAGGAAGCGCTTTTCTCCTCTCCTGCCTCCCTGGCTGAGGAAACGGAGGCACCAGCCCCTTTCCTCCCTGAACAAGCCATGCTTTGGGGTCAGGAATTGAGGGAGGGAGTCAGGGCTCTTCTCCATCCAAGTGAATGTGCAGTGGGAAGTCAGGCTCTCTGCTCTCCCCCTTTGAAGCACAGACTTGGGGAACCTGTTCTTGGTGACACGTGCCAAGAGCCCAGAGAAGGACTGGAGAGGAGGGAGCTGGTGGGAGCCCAAGGGGAGGGAGAGGTGCAGCTCCCGGAGGTGAAGATACGGGTGTAGGTGTGTGCGCAACGAGGTCCAAACCGTAATACATTAGAACAGCAGCTTATTACTTGAGTCAATTAAGTAGCAGGAGATTATCTAACCTGAGCGCATTAGTAGGGAAGATTTGGCTAGTGAGAACAGCTGGCTACCAGCAGTTGAGCTGAGCGTACGTGCTGCAGGACAAGACACTGGGGTTTTCTGACAAAACTGGAGGGAGAAATTGAGGAAAATGAAAAGCAAGCAAATACTGCGCTAGGACCCCAACCTGTTTCTGCTCCAAACTGCTGCTTTGCACCTCACTTGCTGTGTGGTCCCTTGTGAGCGAGAAGTACCTTGGGAGCCGCACTGCTGGCTCTCAAAGAGCAGCTCCTCAAGGTGCCCAAGACCAGCTGCCAAACAGGAAGAGCTAGACAAGCCATCAGAGCACAACCAGACTTGTTAACTCTCAGATTCTTTGGTCCCTGGGCTGTTTATCTGCCAAAGCCTTTCTGCCCATGATACAAACTTTATCATGGCTTCCTGGGCACCTCTGCACAGCTGGATCCCTGCTGGGAAGTGACCAGGAGCTGTCAGGGCCACAGTACACAGGTCTTGGAGAACCAGCCCTGGGCTGTCTTTCTATTCCAGGCATCAGATACGGGGCTGTGTATTGTACTGCTAATAACAGTTACATCTCACAACCCTTCTAGAGTCCCAGGCAGAACACAAAGGTGGGTTTCCCTGCTGGAAAAACACCTTGCTGATAAATCATCTGGTTAGCAAGCTCTTGGCATTTGAGAATTGTATCCTATTTATGCTTTTAATCTATTTTAAAAAAAAGAAAGTGGGTTATTTTATTTTAGACTAATGCTTATTATTGTTGAGCTATAAATTTGTGGCATTCACAGACAACTTATCAAGCTTTAACATCGTAGATGGAGTGATCAGTTCCTCTACTGTTTCCCTGCCAAATACTTAACCACTTCTTGGATCAGGAAGAAAAAAAATATTATTGTAAATTACTTTTTTGCTGAAAGGCATTTTTGTTGTAGCTGTTGCTGCAGGGATTTTCCCCATTTACCTCTTGTATGGCTTCTTTTTATAA